GGGCTGCCCGGGCCGCCTCTCCCCGCCACCGGGCGGGCCCCCCCAGGAACTCGGGGGCTCTGCAGCCGGAAGGAAAGGCTTTGGATCCCGGTGCCCCAGCGCGGCTGCGTGGACACCGGCGTGCTGCTCCCCACTGAGCGGGGCGGTCCCCGCGTCTTCCCCCAAACTTCCCCTAGAACTCTAGGGTTGAAACCGAGAGAATCGCTACCCAGGTGCTGTGCACAGCCCGCCTCGCCTTCTCGTGTTTTCCTGTTGTGAAGTGCATGGCTTTCTTCCCTGCCTTGCATCCCCGGTCCTGCCAAAACTTCTGACGACGCAAAACCGGAGCCGCTGCCGCGCGAGCCTGGGAACTGCGAGGGTGACGCGTAAGGTGAACCCAGCCCTTGTGCGTTTGCACAACAGCAGCGGTTTGCTGGGTGCGCTGGTGGGTGCGTGGAGAGACAAGACGGGGAACTGGGGGTGGGAGGACGTCATACTCCAAACGAAGTGTGTAGGTGGAAATTAGATTTGGGTAAACTCATCTTCCCCATCCATCTCTTTCAGGGATCTCTTACCTTTGTTCGACTGCACTTAAATCAGAGCCGCCGGCCACTGGGCTGTCTGGACGCCTATTTGGGGACCACTGATGTAGAGCCGTGCTGCAAATACAATAGCCACTGTAGTTTTTTAAATTAAAAACTCAGATCCTCAATCACACTGACCACATTTCAAGTACTTAATAGCCACGTGATTAGTGGACAGTGCAGATATAAAACCCTTCCATCACGGCAGGAAGTTCTGTTGCACAGCACTGACATCACTGAAAGAAACAACGAAACAAGGGACTCGGAGCTCCCCAGGTGCGGTGTTCAAATCAAGAAATAAGATCTCTCTCTGGACCTCACATCTCCTCTGTAAAATGAAGATAACATAGGAAATACCTCCTGGATGGCTGAGGGAAGGAAATGAGAAAACATGTGCAAGTCTCTGGCACAGTGCCTAAAAAATAGAGGAACTTGCAAATGTTAGTACAATTTCAGTTTAAATTAACTGAATTTGAAAAGTCTGAAAGGCAAAGATCTTGTTACTGTCCTTGATTCTAATGGGTAAGTTTATCAGGGATGCTGGTTCTGGAAAAGACAAGAGTGTGGTTAACTTTTGATTCATGCCCATCCCAGTGAGATGGCACTGCCATCCACAAACCTGATGAGTTGTCACCATCTCATCCTCTGTCCCATCTCCTCATTCAACCCCTTTGCCTCCAAAATATTGTAGGGTCAACCTACAAAACACTCCTCCTGTCCCCTGTCCCGTCTGCACAGGACTTTTCAGTGCCTCAGTCCAGCAGAGAGACACTCATTTTTGCCCACAGCCCACTGGTCAGCAGCAGGCAAGCTAGGAAGCGTAGTCTTTTGTGCATCTGGAAAGGAGAAAATGATGTACTGGTGAAAACTGACAAAGTCTACCATGGCCTTATGTTAGTTTCACTTTTGAGTTGTGAAATACTGGAATCATAGAACCCCGGGACTGCTGGCAGCCATGTCAGGACCATGAAGGAAGTCNCACTTTTCAGTTGTGAAATATTGGAATCATAGAACCCCGGGACTGCTGGCAGCCATGTCAGGACCATGAAGGAAGTCTGCCCTCAGATGCAGCTTACATAGTGGAATCCAGAACAGAGAGAGGAAGAGAAACGAGACCTTGACATCATCCAGCCTTATCTATAGCCTGAACCATCTCTGGTCTTTTTAGGTGAAATGATGAACTCCCTTTATTGCTTAAGTCAGTGTAAGCTGGGTTTTCTGTTGATTTCAACAGAGACTCCTAATTCATAATACTAACACTCGGATCCAGCCACCTTGAGTCACTTTTGTTTCTCTAAAATACATTTATTTTTATTTCAAAATAAGCTGAAACTCAGCCCAAAATGTATTGAGCAAAGTCCCCATAAAAAAAAGCATGATCCAGGCCTTTGTTGGCATGGCTGAAGAGCAAAATTACCAACTGCAGCATCCAGGAAAGCTTTTAAAAACTGAGAACACAGCAGCTGTTGAGGAGTGCCGTTCCTTATGTGTTAACTTGTAGATATCAGTCATTTTAGGGCATCTGCCTGGATAAATGGATCAGCTCTCTGAGGTCCAAGCTCTCATCTCAAAACTATCTGCTGAACAATCAGGTTGGGTGCCACTGAGAAGAAACCTTGGCACAGTGTCAAGACCCTCAACTGAAGCCTAACAACTCCTGTATGGAAAGCATGTGGATAGAGAAACTCTTGTTGAGTCAAAGTTATGCTTCTAACTTCCTGATGTGGTCATAAGAATGGGGAAGTGTGTTCCCCTCTGAACACATGCAACACAGCTCCAAACAGTGTGGCTAAGTCAACTGGAAAGGGTTGCAAGCGAACATAAAAGGGGGAAATGGACAAACATTTTCAATCAGGGGAGCCAGGCTCTCCCT